GTGAGCTCCAGAATACCCAGGGCTGCATAGAGATATCCTGTCTCAAAAAGCAAAATGTAGTAAAGGGAACTAATAAGGTGAAATATTGCAAGGTGAGCAGATAGAAGGTCGAGGAATCTGGAGGTCAGTACCGGCTCATACTGGAGTCAAGAAAGACTCTGTGCTAAGGTAATATTTTAACATTTTTATTGGCATATATTAGTCATACACAGTAGTAGATTTTATTATGACATGTTAATACATGTAAATAATGTATTAGGTCATACCTACCTCCCTTACTCTCTCATCTCTCCCCTTCCAGATAATGTCCTTCCTCTTTCCAGAAGGTTCCCCCCTCTACCTCCATGTCGCCTATATTCCTGTCTCTGTGTGAATCTCTGTGTGTCTGTGACCCATTAAGTTTCATTAGGGTTGTTTGTAGGCAGGTGGGTGAGAGTTTGTTCTTAGAAGCATGGATGCCAGTTAAGGTAATATTGTTGGGGAAGTCCTTTGTCAATAAAGCACTGTTGAGCCAATAGGAATCTAGATAGGTGGGACTAGGAGTCCAGGAGGATTCTGGGAAGGAGAAACACAAGAGAGTCAACATGTAACGCCATGGGGGTAGGAAGCCTGGAACTATTCTCCGGTAAGAGACATACTTAGATTAACAATTATGGGGTAATTACTTAAGTCAGAGCTAGCAAGGCCAACAGCTTCATAATTAATATAGCCTCCTGTGTGTTTATTTGGGACTGATGCGGCTCTAGAACCAGGCTGGCGGGAAGGCTTCTCTCAAAGAAAAAGCTTCTCTTTACAAAATGGTGATCAGGAGTGGGATCATGAATTTCCACGCAGAATGACACAAGCTTTAAAGGAATTTTAGAAACAGAAGAACGGAGAGAGGCACAGATTTTTGGTAGCAGCATTTTCTCAGGTGGGCTCTGTTTTGTTAGCAGCAAGCAGAGACTCGCGCTGGCTTAAGTTAGTCTTCCTGACTCGGCATTAAGAAAAAAAAATCAGCAGCAAGGTTGTTTTAAGAGACTCTGCTAACGATTGAAAGGTGTGTACATACAGCTGGAAGTGGCAGCTTTTGCTGGATGTCAGCATGGACTGAGGCCATAAGCTGGAGTCACGCTTACGCCCGCCATCTTGGAAAATACGGCAGTTTAAACAGCTGTGGTTTTACAGATAAGACACGTGGCCAGAAAAACGTAAAGATTTACAGTAAAGTCAGACTTGGACGAACAAAACCTCTAAAGGTTTACAGTGTGTTTAAAAATATACATGAGATTGAGAGAGAAAATGAAACGGCAAAGTGGCATATAAATACAAAAGCTGGCGTTGTGGTGGCACATGCTGGTAGGATTTACTCCAGAGGCAGAGGCAGAGGCAGAGGCAGAGGCAGAGGCAGAGGCAGAGGCAGAGGCAGGCGGATTTCCAAAGAGAAATCCTGTCTCAAAGAAAAATAAATAAAAGTAAAATAAATAAAGTAATAATAGATAAATAAATAAGCCACGTAAAGATGGAAAATACACAGAGAATCTGGATACTGTATACTATTGTGCTTTTCAGTTTATTCATTGCTAAGGAAGGAACAACTGATAAAGTACACTTACTTATAAATACTGCTAAATTAATTCAACTTATATCTTTTAAAAATACCTTGACTTCAAAATTTAAGTATAAGGATATGTTACTTGGAAAAGGAGTTTTTATTTATGTTTCTACAGAAAATGAAAAGCTGAGGATTCCTTCCAGGCTTCTGTGGTTTGATGAACCAAGACCCCCGGAAGCAGTGGACCAGGTGTTCCAACAACTGAAACAGCTAAGATGATGCAGCTTTACAGACCACGAAAATAAGGACTTATACAGGTTTCTGAGTTTTGTCATGATCCCCATGGTATGAACAGTGCCCCCTTCCAGCACGAAGCAGTTTGCAATGAGCGACGTCCTAATTCCCATCTTGTTTATAACCCCTTGTTTTCATTTAAATGGGATTGTTTATAATTGGTTAATGATCACAATCAATCTCTTTTTAATGGTAAAAGGGGGAATTATGTTATGGGTATTGTTTTTCATTTATTTATACAAATTCAAGGTCAATTTTGTGATGCGTATATTTCTCCTTTTGATTAAGTATTGTGCTTATACTGTTCTTTTAAAACATAATGCATAATTGAATACAGACTATAGATAGTTACTTATAATAGTCAGAACTTATAGTTAGGTAAGTTAGGTTTTCTAGATATACAGAAATATATTTGAGACAGATAGTCTTCAAACCTTTCAAAGACCTTCAGAAAATGGCATTTAAAATGGTTTAGGGTTTTTCTTGACAATGAGAAATATCTGCTCTTGGCAGCACCAATTATGTCTGAGAGGAAGATGGGCATCAAAGAAACTTGTTATGGAGTTTGCTTTCAACATGGCAAGATTAGCCATTTGGGCAAGAAACTGCTCTTGCCTGTACTGCTTGACTGTTGTTGTATAAACTGGACATGCAGGACCCACAGAAAAGTGACTGCTGAACTCAGTCTTACAGGGTTCCTGCTTCATGGAAGAGTCTACCAGACTTTCTGCAGGACACAGAAAAATGACTGACAGACTGCCAATGCAGATGGACAGTTTGAAATTTCCTGCTTTGCTGAGAAGTGTTCCAGACACATTGTGGCCTATGGGCTGAAGATGGATGCCCCAATGTTACAGAGGAACTTCGGGTGACTGTCCAGGCAGTAAGATGTCTCTGTCAATCCTAGTGTTTATATATTACCCTTCTGTGGTCTTTGATGGAGTTGAAGACAGACAGTTATAATTATAGTTTTCCTTAGTTATGATAAAAGATAACTACATATATAACTTTGGATTCACAAGAATGGGATGGATGATATTTTCTTTAAATCTTGCTAAAATATTGTGACTATGTTCTTACTTGATAACTGTTCTGTTATATACAATTTGACTATGTTAAATTTAAGACCTTTCTTTTTGTTTAAACAGAAAAGAGGAGATGTTGGGGGAAGTCCTTTGTCAATAAAGCACTGTTGAGCCAATAGGAATCTAGATAGGTTAGACTAGGAGTCCAGGAGGATTCTGGGAAGGAGAAACACAAGAGAGTCAACATGTAACGCCATGGGGGTAGGAAGCCTGGAACTATTCTCCGGTAAGAGACATACTTAGATTAACAATTATGGGGTAATTACTTAAGTCAGAGCTAGCTAGTAAGAAACAAGCAAGGCCAACAGCTTCATAATTAATACAGCGTCTTGTGTGTTATTTGGGGACTACATCGCAGCAGAGCCCAGGCGGCTGGCGGGGGATAAACCAAAGCGGCTAGCAAAGAAAAAGCTTCCTTTAACATAATATTTTGGCAAATGTCTGAAGAAAGTGGGAAAAAAGTCCCAGTAAAAACTGAGAAAGTGTTGCAGAGAGTAAACAGCCAGTGCTAATGTCTTGTGGCAAGAGTGTGTTGGGTGGGATCTGGGAACAGCAAGTGACCGAAGTGGAATGTGTGAAGAGAGTGGGAGAGACTAGAGATGAACTATTAGGATGCAAGCATCCACCAGGCTGCCCTTGATGGCCAGCTGTGAGGGCATCATAGATGAGATCCAAGAGCTTGTGGTATATGACTCTTTATAATCCTAGGGCCTTCTATGTGTAAAGAGATATGCAATTAGATATGATCTGAAAACTCACAAAGTGATGGGAATTCTAAACAAACCACTAAAGTGAAATAGAAATAGGAATGTACTTTTACTAATTAAGTTAACCTCCGTGTATTGCTTTTCTTCCTTTCATTAGTGCAAGGTAAAAATCTCATTGATGGTGTCTTCATATTATTTGGTAATGTTATTTTGCACAGGAAGCACAAAAGTAATTTGATATTTAGTTTGTTTGATTATAACTTGTCCTTTCATTACTTATCAGGTAGAAACACTTTAGCCAGTCATGGAGGGGCAGGCCTGTAATACCAGCACTTGGAAGATGGGAAGTGTATGGTTAAGATATCCAGGCTATGGCTACATGAGGCCCTATCTCAGAAAAGTAAACAAAATTAGGGGAGAAATCCTTTCAGTTTTACAACTTGCAATGTTTACTAGTAGTTTTGTGAGCAATTTTAAGGATTGCTTTCATCTGGGAAAACTCTTCTCAGATTTCTTTTTCATATGAACTATACGATTTATAAGCCACTTGCTGCTCATGCCTGTGATTGTAGGTACTGAAGATGCTGGGACAGGAAAACCATTGTGAGTTTGAGGAAGGCCTGGGCTCCATCCTAAGATCTTGTCTTAAAATAAAAAAACAAAAAACAAAATAGTAGGCCGGGAGAGATTTTGCATAATGCCTACCAGTGCAACTTTTGGTTCTATTCCTTTACAACCCTTTTCTCTTCTATTAGCCACAAAGTTCTGGCCTGATGAAGACAAATCCCTCTGGAGCAATTGTTCTCAACCTGTGGGTCGCAACCCCTTGGGGTTCCAACTGCTCTTTCATAGGGATTGGCTAAGACCATTGGTAAACACAGACACTTACATTACAATTCACAACAGCAGCAACATTACAGTAGCAATGAAAATAATTTCATGGTTGGGGGTCTCCACGACATGAGGAACTATATTAAAGGCTTGCAGCATCAGGAAGGTTGAGAACCACTGCTCTGGTGGAACTGAGTCACAAACCACTGGCCCAAACTTAGTGCTTGTTTAACTAAAAGCCTTCAATGGGCTACAGAGTGCTGGCTTTGGTACTTGCACTGCAGGGCACAGCCCTGTGGAAAGTGCACTGTGATGGGCTCAGGAGGGGCCCATGGAGCAGGGGGAGTGTGAGGAAGCTGATGGTCCCGCTACACAGACATAACGAATTCTGAGAGTTCCAGGAAAGCTGGCTGTGTAAGCCACAAGGCTACTGATGCATTTCCTGGCTAAGTCATGCCCACCCACTTCAGGCGCGGCTCCTCTCCTAAAGATCGCTGACTCAGCAACCATAGTGTACTTTTCAGCTTTTAGTCTTGCTGGGAGTCTTTTGAGTTCAAATGTCACCAACAACATCTTCATTGCTTTCCTTCCTGTTTGCTGCTGCATGAACGCTCCCAGCGATGGCTAGGCAGCTGTCTGTCACCAACACGAATCAGAAGTTCCCAAAGGACTCTTTTTGTTACTTGAAACCTTTTTGGTACAGGCACAGTAGCACAATTCAGCTTCCAGAAAGAGGCAGGAGGAACTCAAGTTTGAAGTCACCTTGCTTCAATAGGTATGTAAATAAGTAAGTTTAAGTAACTCTTTGGTGCCTAGAAATTTAATACTTCATATTGTTAAATATTCCTTTGCTTCATGAAGAAATGTTTGACTCATATCTTTAAGGCCTTTATTGCTTATAACTTTATTCCATTTATTTGGGAGTTAACTTTATGATATATTATCTTGGAACAGGAATTAGCAAACCTTGCTTGTAAAAGGCCATGTAGTATTCAGTCCAGGGTCTGCAGGCCAGATGGATTCTGTCAGACCTACACAGCAAGACTGTTGTGTGGCTCAAGTGGCCATGGACAATTATGTAAACAAACAAGCAGGCTGTGTTCCAGTAGAACTGTATTTACATAAGCAGACCCTGGACCACATTTAGCTCACAAGCTGTACTTGGCTAAGCCCTGCTTTATAGTTGTCTTCTAGCTCTCTGTCTCAGCTCTCAAGTGCAACCTCCATGAGTCTGGTAGGCATCTCCATCTTCATAGTAATGGACCTCATGTGCCCCCTATTTACCACGTGGCAATGCCACAAGGGCCCAGCTAGATGTTAGTTATGGAAATCGGTTATCACATTTAAAGTAGCAGTAGCATACATTTGTATATTTCTTTTTCTTCCCTATGAAATGACAATACATTTCCTTACCCTTCTGTAGGTGGAGTTTTTCCTCCTGCCAGCCTGCTCCCAAATAACCACACAGAGACTTACTATTAACTAGAAATGTTCGACTAATAGCTTAGGCATGTTACTAACTAGCTCTTACAACTTAATTTAACTTATATTTCTTATCTACACTTTGTCATTGGATGATACCTTTTTTTCATAAGCAACCACAGGAGGAAATAATGGCTTTTGCTATCTTAGGCATACTACAGGGCCTTGCATTGAATATTGGTTCTCTATAGCATTGGGAAATAAGTTAAACCTCTGATGACAGCAAGTTGTGCTTATTTTTAGTCTGAAGAGGGAGAATAAACTATGTACAGTCTTGAAAGATCCTCAAAAGACAAAGCGGACAAGTCAGGGTATTTACTGAGATCCTGAGGACTTACCTAGCTGGAAATGTGTCTTTTAATGCAGGAGCTTGGTTGGTACTGGGTAAGGACCATGGCATAGTCGTTCAAGATTGGTGGACACAGTGTGATAAGATGCTAAAGACAGGTTCAGAGAGTCTTATCCTATGATTTAAGAGTTTCTACTGAAGAGTTGTTAGGTCCCCCAGGAAGTTGCTGGTCTGGAAAGTCATTTGTAACTTTTTGTTTTATGATCAAACTTTCTGAAATAGTAAAGTTACATGGTAAACACATTAGAATAGTAAAGTTGTGTCATAGTTAAGTTAGTTGTGCAGATACAGATGGCCAGTCTCTGGCCACACACATGTAAATATGTGAATTTCCCTTTTATGCTTTCTTAATTTATGTATTCCATTGCCTTGTTTCTCATCTCCATTTAGATATTTTTCTCTCCCTCAAAATCCCCCTTTCAAGTTTTATAACATACATATCATGCACATGCTCAGACTCCCTCCCTATCTATCTATCTATCTATCTATCTATCTATCTATCTATCTATCTATCTATCTATAGGATATATATATCCTAGGTTCTGTGTTTAAGAAGAAACATGTAACATATGTCTTTTTGAGTTTGGCTTATTTTGCTTAGCATAAAGATTTCTAATTCCATCTATTTCCTGCAAATGTTACGATTTCACTTTTCTTTATAGCTGCATGAAACTCCATAATGTGCACCTAGCACATCTCTTTATCTATTCATCTCTTGATGGGCATCCAGACTGGTTCCATTATTCATCTCTTGATGGACATCCAGACTGGTTCCATTTCCCAACTGTCTTGAACAGCGTAGCAGTAGATGTGGATGCTGAGAGAGTGGTACACTGATAACGTCCTTTGGATGTGTATCCAAGATGGTTCACCTGAATCGTATGATAGTTCTGTTTCTAGTGTTTTGAGGAACCTTCATAGTGGTAGATTGGGTTTGAGTATGTTACTTTATAAAAAAGAAATTGTTTTGAGATGATAAGATCTCATGGAGCCCAGGCTGACCTTGAACTTGCTATGTGGCTAGGGATCACCTTGAATTCCTGATCCTTTTAACTTTATGTCCAAGAGTACTGGGACCACAAGTCGGTTCCACAATGCCCAGTTTCTAGTCTAATGCTGAGGGTGGGTGGTTGAGTCTAGGGCTTCATTCATGTTAGTAAGCACTGTTTCAACTGAGGCATGGCTACATCCTTCATGAATGCTACTTTCTTAACTTGATAGACTAATTATTCATGGTAAGGAAAAATAATATGTCCATAAAAAAATTAGAAGAAATAGCAATGGCTTAATTGTAAGGTGAAGTTCCAAAGAAATAGATATGAAGGAGTCAAAAAACCATAAACACAGGAAAGTGACTTTCATTAAAAGTAAGGATTTCTAGGACTACAGAGATGGTTCAGCTGTGGAGAGCACTAGTCCTAACACACACACACACACACACACACACACACACACACACACACACACACACACACACACACACACACGCGGTGGCTAACAACCATCTGTAAGTCCAGTTCCAGGGCATCTGTTGCCATCTTCTGGCCTCTTTAGGTACTGCACACACGATACATATATAAACATGCAGATACAGCACTTTTTTTTAAAATAGCGTTTTTAAAAATTAAAAAATAATAAAGAATTTTCTGGTTTGGAAGAACACACTAAAGGAACAGTAGACAGAGCAAGAAAAAATGCATAAAGTCAAGAATATGTCAGGAGGATGTTGGCTGCTTTGTGGGGAATAGTCATAGGCCACCAAAGTTTGGAGGGAAAATAATATTTATCTCAAATTTTATTTGTTTTCATTGCTGTGGTATTGCAGAGAATTTAGCCTTCTATCAGATTAGAAGCATAGTCCTCAGGACTGTCCTCATTTCTAGTGCAAACAAGTCCGTGGTAATGCTCATTTTCTGGGGAGGACTAAGACTCACACAAGCCAAGAAAAGAAGCAGACATGACTTAGCATAGACGTCACCAACATGGAGCTACCATGGTCCTCACCTTATAAACACATGACAATGTGTGACAATATGTGTAAAGCACTATCACAAAGAGGGGCCCAGCCTACTGAGTGTCCCAAGAGGTTTTTTTGTTTTATCTCAATTATATAGTTATTATATAGTCTTGGTTGATCAATTATTCTCTTAGGTGATGCTAGTCTCCATGTTTACTGACACTGTGACACAAATCCCCGGTCAGATCATTTACCCCATGGCTTGTTTCTGCTGAGTCTATATGAATGTGTCCATCTTTTATCTCTGCTGCATTGTTAAACTCCACATTATGAACTGGTGCTCTAGGCAAACAGATGTCTTATCAAGAGAGACCACATGTTATCTGCCAGAAGCCTATGGCTTAGACTATGTCTTTTCTTTTTCAATAGTTTATTTTTATTTCATGTGCATTGGTGTTTTGTCTGCACGTATATCTGTGTGAGGGTGTCAGATCCCCTGGAACTGGAGTTACAGACCATTGTGAACTGTCTCATGGGTGCTGGGAATTGAACCGGGTCCTCTGGAAGAGCAGTCAGTGCTCTCCAACCCGGCTCTATGTCTTCTTTACTGTGGAAAAATTTATTTTTTAGTACAGACTTTCCCTATACAGCACAGGCTGGCCTCAAATTGGTGCTCCTTCTTCCTCAGTCTCTAGAGTATTGAGGTTACAGGTATGTGTCACCATGCGCAATAATGATTTCCTCACATATGTTTAGGAAAACATATATAATTCCACCAATTTGATTGAAAAATTGTAAATATTTTATATAGATCCTCTCAGATAGATCTTATACAGTTTGGGCATAGAAACATTAATCATTTTCTCTATTATACAAATAAAAAATTAATTGGTTACTAACACAAGTTAGAAAACTAGTAAAATTAAATCATCAAAAGGTGGGACTAGATGAAACCTTAGTCTATGTCAGGTCTTTGTGGTGGATAAATTGATACATTCATGACTGATGGAGTCATTGAGACAGACAGCTAAGTTAAAATTATAGGTCCAGGTAGCTCAGTCAGTAAAGGCTTGCTATGCAATCCTAACAACCTGGAATGACCCCCAGGGAGACAAAGCTGGGTGTGGTGGGGCATGATTGGAATCCCATTCACTGGGAATGTAGAGATCTGGGCCAATGGCCTAGACTAGATGGAAGATTCCAGGCCAGTGAGAGATCCTGCTTCAAGGCACAGGTGGACGGTTCCTCTGAGGAATGACACTTGAACTTGCCCTCTGGCCTCCACACGGTACCAGCATATGTCCACATCCACCCGACCCCCATGCTCGATCACCTTTCAAGTCAGTGTTCTTCCCCTTACAATAAGAGGCTTCTTTCGGAACCAAAGTTTAGTAATGAACTCTTCAGAAATAGGACCGCCTTGCTGACTCATAGTAGGAAAACCTTAATGCCTTGGACTTTGGGGCAGAATCTGGGGTATTTTTCAGATCCATATTAAACTCTGTTTGGAAGATAGCAACTCAACCACTCACACTTTCTTCTGATTCGCTGAGTTACATTATGCTGCTGGAATTCCACTGATTTCATGTTGTTGATAGCAGCAGCAGCCCGAGGCCTGGACTTGAACACTAGATATGCATCTCCAGTCCTTCAAAAAATGTTCCCTTCGTTTACAGACTCCTTGTTTTCCCTAGAAAGCTGTTAGTTTTGTGTTGTGCAGATTCAAACCCAGAATCTAGTTCTCAGCCCCTCTTTCCCCCTCCTCATCCTGTAAACCGTAGTCAGTTTCTTTTCTCGGGTTGGTTAGACCTGGAGACTGCTGGTTGGTGAAAATGGTGTAAGGAGGGGATAGCGCTTGTTCCTATGTTGCCCAAGCGTGTGTTTTAGGGGTGGGTAGACAAGTGGGGGTAGCTTCTGCCTGAGCACAGCAGTCAAACTTACTCCATTTTATTTCAGTTGATGGAAGTGACTTACTTCTCCAACCTTCTCTACTTTCTAGCCTGGCATTAGTTGCCCCAAGAACACCAGGGAAATCCTTTGGTATCACCGAGGATGTGTTTTGGAAACGCAGAGTGCAGACGCCCCCAGAAGAATTTTAGTAGCTCAGGACACCTTTCGCTTGATTACTACTCTTGTATATTTAACTGATATCAGCGGCAGTGAAGAGAAAACTCTGATGAAATAACCATGGCATTTGTTAGGGCTTTGTCTCAGGGTGGTATGCCACAGGCTTCGGGAATGTGGACAGAAATAGGAGATCAAGGAGGCAGGATAAGGCGTGGAGGTGATGAGACTACCCCTTTCTCTTGTCAGGGTTCTGACCCGTGAAATACATCAACTATTTGCTGGGCGTGGAGGCACATGAGTTTGGTCCTAAAACTTGGGATACAGGCCAACCAGAGTTATAGCCTCATTCCAGGCTAGCTAGGCTTATATAGTGAGACACTATTAATTAATAATTAATTATTAAAATATTTACAAAGGGTTGACACTCATGTCCTTTCAACTACTGAGACAAAAACAAACTAGTAGATAGGATCACTTCTTTTACAAACTATAAAAAGTCCAAGGACAAGTTTTGACTCACTAAAACACACTTAAAACAAGCCAAAAAGATCGCTACACTGAACGGGAGAGCTGACAAGTGACTGGACTCCCTAGAATCCACTGGAATGGAAGGCTCACACACTGGAATGGAAGGCTCACACACTGGAATGGAAGACTCACACTTGTTCTGAGGCATACATCATAGGTTAGGACAACTTTGTACAAGAGAGTACTATTCAGATACTGGGGTAATACATAGGTCACAACACTGCTTATCAAGGTGTCAGTCATTTGGAGGTGATGCATTACTGGTCAGCAGCCTGGTCTGCCATGGGACCTGTAGCCAAGGAAGACCCTGATCCTGGAAGATCAACTCAAGGGTACCCATTTTCTTGGGAGACTCCAGAGACGTCCTCTTGACAAATACTTGATGCAGTGGAATTCACGATGACTAAACTATCTGTGGGGTTGGCAGTATAAAACATATAATGTTGTAGAGGAATGGATGTAGGGAATGATCGGGTCACACTACAACAGTCAGTGCCAAGAACTAAGAGAATCTGATGCTTATTTCTAAGATATGAAATTACTTCAAAGCTACCCCAGCTAATGGTGGGTTAGAGCTGTTTTTCTTGGACAACATATGCCTGATATAGTTGTGCTGGCTAGATTTATGTCAGCTTGACACAATCTAAAGTAACCTGAGAAAAGGGAACCTCAGTTGAGAAAATGGCTCCTTAAGGTGGGACTGTGGGCAAGCCTGTAGGGCATTTTCTTAGTGGGAGGGTCCAGCCCATTGTGGTTTATTATTTGATGAGCAGGGCACGTGGAGCCTGCTGGGTTAACACTATCACCCAGAATAGCAACACTTCTTGTGAAGCTGGTCTTGGGCCACAACTGTATCGCCCTGATTCAACCTGAGCCTGAGGTCAGCGAAGGCTTGGCAGAGACTGCAGGCTGAAGAACCTCAGCAGTTTGAGTGTGGGATAAAGAAGACACATGGTCAGAAAGAGGGCGGAAAAGAGGGCCCTCTTTCCTTTTCTCTCAGAAGGGTGTTCTGCGCCACACGTATACGATGAGATATCCCCCTCTCTGCCCCCATGTCTAGGATTGGTATGTTGCCATACCCGGGTGTTTGTTTTGTGCTGCAGGAGGAAGTACTCACAAGAGAAAGTGCGAGCGCAGACATAATTCTGGAAGCAGCCGGCCTGGACAGGAACAGTGAAGAGGAACTGGGTTCCAGATTCCCGACGCTATTGCGCACCTGCATCCTGGAGGCCTTGGGGAAGGTTAGACCTCAAAGGGCTGCTGAACTGTGCCTGAGACTTGCAAGCTCTGCTAGATGCCTTCCCTGTCATTTTCCTCTCCAGCTATTTCCTCCCTCTGTGCCCAACACTACGGAAATACATTTTTTCTAATGAAGAGATAGTCTGAGCCAGAATGATGACTCTTTCTGCTTTTTAAAAAGAGGTTCCATATGACTATGACCTGTGACTCTGACAAGAAGACTCACAATTTGAACATTCCAGAACATTTGCTTTTACTTTTGATTCTATATTTTAGGAATTAAAAACAAGAGAAACCTCACCACCGCCAAGCACAGGAACTAGGTTAAACTGCAGGGCCTTGCGGGATGGATCTGGATAGTGCAGTAGCTGGCAGTGAGGAAGCCGTGGTCCACACCTCTATTGGGTGCAGAGGGGAGCTAGCTGGGTTGGAGAAGCAAGCCCAGGCTGGAGAGCCCGATTTTCAGCAAAAAAATTCCTGACTTGTCCTGGAGATTAGGCTAGAGAAACCACCCTGTTAGAGACGTCTTTGGAATTGGGTTAGAACAGGGCTGAGGGGAGTTCTTGTTAGAGACCCGGGGCAGAAAGACACAGTTTTTGTTGTTGCTGTTGTTTTTTTTTTTCCTCTAAGACAAAAGCCGGGGAAGGTCTTAGGGTGGAGAGAAAGGAAGCTTGTGAATGAGCAAGCTTACAAACGTGGGAAAAATAATTCTAAACAAGCATCGACACACATTTTCCTGTAACCTGATATCCAAAGGTGTAGCTGGCCAGCTCTGCTGGTTCTCTGAAAATGTCCACCTGAGAAACAGGCATACTTTTGGATAAAGGTGGCTGGAGAACCTATTATTCTGCATGGAGAGATCAGAATTATTGTATGTTAAAGCTCAGCATACTGCAAATGTTTGGGACAGTATTACTTTTCTTAAACTGTGTTGGTGTCTAAGTGTTTCAGAATATGTGGGAAACAAAGAGGTTTTTGCCAGGGAAGAGAGAGATGAGGCAGACAAACTTTCTGGAGAAGCTAAGTGCTCTTTTTTGCTCATCTGTGGGGGAAAACCACTTTTCATCAGTGCACATTTGTTTTTGCTTTTCTGTGTTTGCACTGTGGAAAGGGCTTTGCTGGTATAGACTTTCTGAGATGGTCTACACTTTGAATACTTATGGTCTCTATAAATCATCTAAGTATCAGAGAAATACCAATTTTCAAATATTTTGATGTGTAGGCAGTATGTTTAGGTTGGCTTAGTTCTGTACCTTATTTTTTTAATATGCTTTTTTTCTTTATGTCCAGTTTTTTTTGGGGGGGTTGTTTTTATATTCTAAATACCCTCTGTCAGATGTACAGTCACTAAAGAATTTCCCCCTCACTCCATGGGCTTTTTCTGCCAATGATGATGTCTTTTGTTGTGATCACGAATCTCACCCAGTTACAAGCCCTGCAAGCTGTATTAATAACCCACCTATAAGATATGCCCACTGGTGCAATAGTGTCACAGTATTATGGGAGTAACCATCTACATTTTGCCATCTACCTTTTTACTGAATTTTAGATGGAGCTCAAGCCTGATATTGTTAATTAGGTCAAGAACCTGAGACTGGATAGGTCATGTGCTCATAGAAAACCCACTAGAGGAGGCAGAAGGATGTAAGAGCTAGAGGCAGTGGAAGCTTTTAAAGAAACAGCATCTGTCTTCTTATTTAGCATCATTTATTTATTGGTTCTTTGGGAATTTCACATCATGAACCCTAATTCTGCTCACCTCCTGTCCCTCATGCAGTGCCCCCGAAAGAAAATTTACAAAAATCAAACCAAACCAAACCAAAGCAAGCAAGCAAACAAAAACAAGAACAAACCAAACCACTCCCCAAAAAGAACTCCCAAGAAACACCCCACTTCTTTCCTGCCTCTCCAATATCTCTTCCTTCATCCTGGAGGCATTGGAACCGTGGTGTGTCTCATAGTACAGCCTTTTGTCCAATCAACTTTACTAGCAAGTGTTCATTGCAATGAGTCACTGGTCTGGTTCAAGGCCTCTGGTTTCTGATACATCATCGTCACTGGATCCTCACCAGAACTCCTCTGGGATATCCCACAGCGTCTCTGAGTCATGGAGATCCTGTAGGTAATGTTCCACAGGACCAGTCCCTTGACAGTCTCCAGCAGGTCCTAGATGGGGAAGATGTCAGGATGGGTCAGTCCAAAGTCCAGCTGTGGGCCTGGGTGGTAGCTGAGTTCCTCAGTCTGCCTATTGGGGTCACCTGCCTCAGGCAAAGGGGAGGAGTCAGCTCCTCTATGCCTATGCCATTAAGGTCCGTCCTCCCTCACTTGTGGTGAGGGGTGAGGCCATCTCTCCTGAGTGCAGGGGCCAGCTCTCCAGTGAAGGTTGGAACCAATTTTATTGCTGCAGTGTCCTGTGAGAGGCAGGGCCAGCTTTCCCCAGCCTAGTGAAGGGCAGGGCTGACTCAGCATAGCTCTCATGAGTGGTTCCTATGGCCACCTTGGTGACAGAGGTAACAGACATGAACACAGACCCCAGCTGCAGCTGGGATCGTGGACTCAGACATGGCCCTTGGCAGTAACTCTGGCCTGGATGACATCCTGGCTTTGTGAGGGAGCTCTAGCCACTCAGATCAAGATGGCTGTCATGGCAGCTTGGCCCTTAGATGCCACCAAGGCTTCAGGTTGTAGGCCAAATCCTGGGCTTCTGTTCAATCTTTGGTATCAATATGGCACTAGGACTTCAGCACAGACCCCAGCTGCGGTAGGACAACGGACCCAGACTTGGTCCTCAGCAGCAACAGGGTCTGGATGTTACCATTGCTCCAGATGGCAGTGTAGGCCTTTCAGATTGGCAGGCACAGCCCCAGCAGCAGTGTGGCCCTCGAACACCAATATGTCCCCAGACCTTGGACATCCCATGGCCTTCAAAGGTAACAGGAGCTTCAGACATCAACACTTATCCTGGTTGTAATAGGGCCACAGACTCAGACATAGCCCTCCGATGCAACTCTGGCCCAGATGACACCCTGGCATTGGGTAGTGGTACAGGCCGCTCAGATCTGCATGACTCCAAGCAGCATGACACTCGGACGCCAACATGGACTCAGGTGGTTGACCTGATCCTGGGCATCTACATGGCCCTCAGTGTAAACTGGAGCCACATATGTCAACCTAGACCCTTGTCACTATAGGGCCACAGGCATGGTCCTCAGCAGGAGCCGGGGTCTGGATGTCACCATAGCCTCAGGTGGCAGCCAAGGCCACCCAGATCATCAGGGCCCCAGTGGCAGTGTGACACCTGGACACCAACAAGGCCCCAGGTGGCAGTCCAGACCCCTGGAATCAGAGTGGCACTCGGTGGTACCAGGAGCCACGGACATCAACACAGGCCCTGGCTGCGCTGGGCCACTAAGAAAGAGCATTTCCAAGACGCAATAGAGCAGATGCACATATGCATTCATAGAGACTGTGACAGCATGAACACAACCTGTGTGAGCTCAAGCCAGACATCCCAGCCCTGAGGAAGAGCAAGTGGGTACAAGTCCTACCACTAAGAAGCTGTCTGCAAATACTAACTGCTGGGAGAAGGGAATGGAATGGTACTGGATATATCAATTGCACCCCATGGCAGGCCCTTTGCTTAGGAGCAATTGGCCAACACAAAATCATTGAACTCCATGTTTTTTAGAGATTTTCTTTATTTCTTAATTTTTTTTTCAAGAGAGAAACAACATGAAGTTGAATGGGTAGGGAGGTAGAGGGTGGAATCTGGAAGGGGTTGGGGGATGGAAAACAAAATGACAAAAGTATATTGTATGTGATTCTCAAAGAATTGATTGAAAAATCAATTTAGAGTATTAGATGTATTTCCATGGCCCCATATTGCTATTTGATATGCCTTGTATTATAGGATATAAAATGAGCATTTCACCTATAAAATGTTAAGATGGCACCCAACACAGGCAATGGCTTCCCATAATTCAACATCCCAATAGTATCTGGTAGTATTAAAAAATAAATGAGTGGATGATTTTACCTCCTTTTAAAAATTATTTATTTTCATTTTATTTTAGGGTGTGTGTGTTAGAGAGAGAGAAAGGCAAGTTAGAAGACAGCTTTTGGCAGTTGGTTCTCTCCCTTTGTTGTGGGATCTGGAGGTTGAACTCAAGCGTCACGTTTGCACTATAAGCACATTTACCTAATAGACCATCTCAATGGCTTTGAAATATCATTTACACATAAGAGAAGTGTAATGAAATGAGGGGGACTCCCTCCTCCCATGTTCCAAAAGTCTTTGGAGAGCTACTAAAAACACTGTCACAATGCAGCTGGTCAGAAACCACTCCTGGGGATTATAGAAAAATGGCCGCTGATAGACGTGATACACGGCCAACCAGGTTTGGACTCCTTGTCTTCTGCTTCACCAGAGACTGTGCCTGCCCTGCATGCCTTAAATGGTTCCAGTCTTGCACATTTCTGCAGTCATCTCGTGGGAAGTCACTTCCTCTCCTTCTTTCTCTTTTTAGTCTGAGGATCTCTCTTTTCCTCCTGACTTTTTGGTAGGCTTCTTTTCAACTCATTTTTTCATGCCCAAAGGGTAATTAATGTGTTGACATCACAGGGTGGTTTGTGGGAGGCACGCGGTGTGTGCTGTGACTACCTAGTCATCGTCTTCCTCGATACTTTTGCAGGAACATGCACACCAGGCCACTTGCCACTCTCTTGGGCTCCCCCTCACTGCCTCTTTATCTCTTCACTGGAGCTGGCTTTCTACCGGGACCTCTTAGTAGCACAGGTCACAGGGATGGGTACTGCAGGACAGCGATACCTTGAAGTACCTGGGATGCCGAGTTACCACCATGTGAGCCTGTGACCTGCTTCTAATGGGTAGTATATGAAATGTCACCTTGGTAATTGTAACATTTCCTAAGACTGTATTTCAATAGACTGGATACTCCCTTTCAGATATATGCTGTTATTTTAGAGAAACTCACGTGGTCTATGGCCATACTATCCCAAATGCACCCAATCACCACTGATCTTGGAATCTAAGCATGACAAAGTGTAGTTAGTATTTGGAGAGAGAAGAAACCCATGGGTGGAGGAGCTGCAGACACTGATCCGAGGATAGCCACAGACATACAACCGTATGAAAGTGAATTCTGTCAACATTGGGAGTGAACTTGGAAAGTAGATTTTCCCCAGTGGATCCTTTGATGAGAGAACAGCCCAGATGATGCCTTGACTGTGAGCCCAAAGAAGCCTCTAGTTAAGCCTGCCCATGAAAACAGACATAATGAATATGGAGTGATTTGTGAGCCTAAGTTTGTGGCAATCTGTTATATAGTATTAGCGCACTAACCCAGAAATCTAGGATTTTGTTCCATTATGTAATGTGGCCAGGGCTATCAAATTCCCTTGCTCAGACAGATATCCTGTTTATCAGGGTGATTTCCATAACGATAGACTGTATAGCAGTTCAGATATGGGATTTTTTTAACTGTTGAGTAAGCTATGTCTCTGGGGCATAGTTTTTAGAATGGAAAAAGAAGTAAGAGGCAGAGTCCTATTTTGCTTGCTTAATGCTTCTCCAGACACCCTGTTCCAGGAAGCATCCGTAAGTAATCAGAATAAAACAATGATAACAATGATGAGTGCATCTATGTCCTGGGGACTGGAGGCGTGAGAGGAAATACCAGAAGTCGAAGCTGTACTGGGGCAGAGCTTGTGAAACAGTTACAATTTGTCTAAGCCACCTCACAGACAAAAGCTTGCACTAGATGGTTCCCCTAATGTTTCTTTAGCCAGGTAATAAGCGGGCAATCCCAGCCAGGTAAACAGTACTTCTAATTTGGGAATGTACCCAGGATCATTCTGTCTTTCTTAGTCATCCCTTTCTATATTTAATGGCCCTCACACTCAGACTTTCTAACTTACAACTCTTACTGTTCTGTGAAGGCTTGTGCTGTCTCCTACCTGCCACTAGACAGATGGGGGCCACCTGGTGATGGGGATCTCCCGGCAGCCTTTGGCAGGCCTTTCTGTTTTGTTCCTCTTCATTCTTGGCTGATGTATGTGAGGAGGATGAGCTGACATTATCATCAAGACTCACGCGCACACACATGTAGAGTCCTCTTGGCTTCCTCTGGGGTCTGACTTTAATTCCAAACGCTGTGACTGTGACTCAGTGAGTAGTAACTAATGAGAGGATTCCCTCGTCAACTAACCCACCAGGCTTATCTCAGAAGACATTTTCTAGTTAGGGGAAGAAAACAATTTAGAACTGATGGGAGATGGGTGTCTAGACTCTGGTAACAGAAGACTGGAGCTATAGCTGCTGTGCAGGTGCCAGAACACAAACTCTGTAAGAGCAGGAAGCAGTCTTACCTTGCTTCCCTACATATTTTCCTAACATTAATAAAAACACGTGACTATCATACAAACAGAAACCTAGCTAATTTTACATTTACCAATCTGAATCGTAGTATGTTCTGTGGGACAAGGTTTGAAATAAAAACTGTAGAAATGCACAGACTGTTAAAGGGATAAAATGGAGACAGAGTTGATTCTGAACACTTGGCTGGCTTCTTCCCTCCTAAACATAGCCAGCATCAGACAATTTTCATAGCATTAGGCCTGCCTATTCCAGTTCATTCTGTGTTGTCACTTGCTCTTCATGTGCTAACGACCACATTAACACCTCTGGTATTTCCACAAGAGACACCAGTGACTTAGCTCATTTTCAACCCACCTCTCGAGCATGTAAGGGCATCAGACCCCTTCAGCAGTGTTTTCCTTCTGAGTTCTCCTTGTCGGTGTCTCTGTTTACGTGCCTCTTAAGTGAGACAGATGGGAGGAAGTGTGTGTAGCAGCTGTTTCAGTGTGACTCAGCAGTTTTTCATTCTTGCATTCATCCGACAATCATGCCATTTTGTTTTGTGTTCACCACTGGCTGCTTACCAAGAATACACAGATGAATAAAACATTAGTACTGACCGGGAAGATCTCACAAAGATGGAAAGAGTCATCCAAGTGCATAATTATACCATGATCCACGTGACCCATTGGGAATAGCACTGAATCATCTTAGAGGAGGCAGAGAAGGTGGCATTTTGGTTGGATCAGGATTTATGTGTAGGAACGACGGGATGACATCACAGAGATGATTTGTATGTTGACAAGGAGTGTTAAGCACTGTATGTAGGTTCATAAGCATATAGCAAGTTGGGAGAATGGTGAGAAGCTGGGTGTGGCTGGAGCACTGTGTGCACGTGTGTGTCATGTGCCATGTGTGTGCGTGTGTGGTGTGTACACATGTGCGTGTGATGAACTTGAGGCAAGGGAAGTTTGGAAAGCGGAAAGGATGTTGTGAGTTAAGTACTAGTGTAGTAATAGGGCATATGCACAAAGGTCCTAAGATAGAAGAATACTTACGTGATGATACGAGTTAGTAAAGGTAGTGGTACATGGATGAGTCTGGAGTTGGGAAGATGGGTCAGTTAATGACTCTTTACAAATCAGTTAATACTGCCTGCAGGAGACATCATCATGGAGTCTTCCATTAGTGCTGACCTGAGTAAGATCCTTCAATTGGACTGACAATTGCTTATGCTAAGTCAAAGGGAGGAAAATGCAGAGGAAGGGTCCTAGATGAAGAACTCTATAGAGACCATTTTGTCAAGGCTTTGTGACTGACAGGCTAAGAACACAGGGAATAGAGGTGATTGGACTCCAGCATCCTCCCCTTGGAAGCCGAAGTCATTCATGGCATTGCTAATAAAGACAGAAAATAGGATAATTATAGGATTTTTGTCCAGGAGAGAGGTGCATAACACATCTGACATCTGGTTCTGCTCTTCTTGATCTCTCTCTCTGTTTCTCACCATGACTGGAGAAGGTCATTCATCATAGGCCACTTTCCACTCAGTACCGTCTCTAAATGCCCTGGTCTTTGCTTTCTTCTTTGGGTTATGCTGGTTCCAAGTACAAAAAATTGAGGGTTTTTTTGGTTTTGTTTTTGTTTTTGTTTTTTTTTTTGTTTTTACGAGACAGGGTTTCTCTGTATTGTTTTGGAGGCTATCGGTCCAGCCCGGCCTCGAACTCACAGAGATCCGCCTGCCTCTGCCTCCCGAGTGCTGGGATTAAAGGCGTGTGCCACCACCGCCCGGCTCCAAAAAATTGAGTTTTAACAGTAGCAGTGCAACCATCAATCAATGGAGGAAGGAAATGAAGGGTAGTTGCTCCCATTTCTTTACTTTGGGTGATCCAAGGCATTCTGACCTTCAAGAGGTGTTCTGGCAGAACCAGGTACCCCACAGCATCTCTTCATTGGTTTTCTGTTCTTCATATCTATCTATGTATCTATCTATCACCTGTCACCGTTTCCCTGAAATCATCTCTCATGAAAACTGTGTGTTATCTCATATTTCCATCTCTACCTTTCAAACATACCAAGCTAAGAGAGTCAAGGACACAAAGACTGGTTTGGTTTGGAATGTGGGGAGCCTGTGGTGCCCAGGCTCTCTGCTTATATTTCTGAAACTTGCTTAAAGGCTATCAGAGGGATCCTATATCCCTTATGTCTAAATATCTAAAAGTAGTCAATCACGTTACTACATATTTAAATAAAATTCTGCAATGTATCCACCTATTATAGAATGTATATTCATGGCATCCTCCAAGTTTCATACCAGATTTACATGAAACTACCCAGGCCTATACAGCCTTCCTGTCTACCTCTACCCCCAAGGTATGCTGAGGATAGCAGCCCACAGGATGCTCTATAGTCCAACAAAGAGCTCCCTTCACACCTTGGGGTATTCGTAAAGTAGCTCAGCTTTCCCTCAAGAGAATGGACTAGAAAGGAATCTGTGAAGGCTCCAGATGGTACCTGGGTACAGCTATAGGTCAGTTTAGACAGACCCTGTAGAGGGGCCCTTTGGTGTTTTTAGTGTTAGGAATTCCCGTAGGATATATTGGCAATCCTCTGGGAGATACCATGGAAGTTAGTCTCTGGAACTTGCCATAAATATTTG